GACACATTTTCTAAGTTTAACACCCTACCCTGTACGTATTACCTAATCATATTGTTCATACAATTGCAGCGGAAATAATCCTGTACGTATTACTTAATCATATTGTTCATACAATTGCAGCGGAAATAATCTCGGGTGTTACATTAATTGTCAAAATTTACCCAAATAAAATTTCGACATGAATTACTCGCGTAATGGGCTAACAGTTCTTCCATCTAATCCTGCAAAATAATTCATCACAAACATATATACTCACAACCATATGCATTGGCTTTTGTTAGCCATAGCCACACTTTCATACTCCACAACTGCATACCATACTTATACATACCATAGTCGTCACAACTTACACAGTTACACAACATATACACATATCATCAACTTTCCACACCTGTGGATATCTCACACTACATCAGAAGCTAGTATGCACATGAAAAACGCTCTCAAAACATTTTTACAAAAATGTGTGGATCACTGGCCAAAATCCCGAGTAGTAGTCCAAGCACAGAATAGTTGAAGACCATACCTCATCCTGGCTTCAACTCTAGCTCCTCTCCCACCTAACACTTATCTACTGCTGCTGCTGATGATCTGCTTACACATAGCATAAGCAGAGAAGAAGAATAAAAGAGGGTCAGCTCATAGCTGAGTGAGACAATCATTGCATCGTGAGTTCATAACAAAGCATACCCCTACCATACATCTACCAATCAAGCCAAAACACTAGGATCGGAACTCAGCCATCCTCATATCCCAATAGGCAAAAGACTCAACCACCTTGACTTATGCATATGCATCTTATCATGTTTTAATCATAGGCGCCTGGCTACTCCTATGCTAATAACTCTCCCGGGAAACATACCCCACATCCCGTCGGATGTAGTCATACATACCCCAACATCCCGTCGGATGTGGTCATACATACCCCACACCACTATGGGTGTAGTCATACCCCGACACCGCTCTGGGTGTGGTCATATCTCGTAAGAATTCTTCAGTCACCACCACATGAGAGGTGTGACTATCATATATATCATAATAGAGTAATAGCATAGGGAGCCCTAATTACTATGTAGTTGACCGTGAGACCACAACACTCATATTTGGTATCCTTATACATGATTCATATCTCATCTTGCTTAATCATAATTCATTACTTGCACATGTACTTGACCTGGCCATAATTGGCTCAACATAGGTAAATCAGGAGTCGTATAATTGCACTTCCTCGGGATAAACCCTCGTGCAAGTCATCCTCCTTAAACATCATAATATCACCAGGGAATATATATTTCCCCACTTGTGCATCCAAATACAACAATCATGAAAAATCATACCTAATCACCTTCTCGAACCATCGTAAAGCATATTAACAGTCAAGCCCACAATTTGCAACATATACACAATTATCAGCATAAACAAGGTTCATATCGATTAGGGCAAGTCAATAATATCATACAGCAATCCATGGTTCATCATATAGCACCAAAAGTTCATACACCCCTAATCATGCCATTCTAGTTCACCTAGGTCAATTCTAAGCATCAATATAATTATCGTGATACGACAAACCCGGTATGCCGTGCTAATCCCTCACCAGTTCTGGTCGTTCAAACACCGGTTCTAGCCTCCCGTACTAAAACGTCAATTTCACAAACGAACCCCGAATTAAAATCCGAGACCGTCCTAATATCTCCTACAGTATCCCCGTCAATATTAGCTCTAGGCTCCGGGTCAAATTCTTGATAAAAACACATCAAACCCTGGTCGGAGCTAAATTCGGCGATTTGGACCCCGACCTAAATAATTGCCGAAATTCAGGGATTAGAACTAGAGGATTGATTACCTCGCTGCAGGAAGCTTGTATATGAAATTTGGGCTCAATCCGGCTTCCGGATACTCCGAAACCCTAATTTGCCTTATCGAGAATTCAAGAAATTCCTGAACCAAAAACTCGTTTTAAAGCTCTAAATCAATAAATCACGATGTATAAATAAATTAGACATTACTTACGGAATTTTTGGATTACTAATACTCAAGAATTGAGCTCGGAGAATTTCTGTGCTCACCTCCCCTGCGCGCCCTCTGTTCCAGTTTTCTCTCGGTCCAGAAAAAGAAAAGAATGGACATGGAGGGGATTTTTGGAAGCAAATATATAAATAGCTGGGGGCCGCTTCAGCTCTTTTTTTTTTCTATTTCCTTTTTAATAAATAATATATATATAATTAATACTTATACTTATCCGATCGATTGATAATCCGATTTTCATCGAAATACTATCAAAACGCTCAATTTTAAATCATGAAATTCCTAGCGATCGAAATATGGGTTTCTTCGAAACGGGATGTTACAATTTTGAATGATTTAATTACAGAAAAAGTTAAATAATATACATAATAATTTTTCTGACATTCTAACGGATTCATTGTTCAAAATCCTTACTAAAAGAAACATACGCAAAGAAACCGACACCTAAAAAACCAAACCACACTTCAATTTTAGTCATCAATATCAAAAGTAATGCAAATTTTTTAGACTTCTCTGAGATTGCTTCACCGTCAATAACATCTTCATACCCACTAATAATTGTGTATTCATCCTCATAAACGACACCCCTATCTCTTCATCAAATATGTTTTTTCTTATTCTCAACAATGTCAAGGATGAGTTAGCTCGACTACCCCCTATAGGGTTGGAAAACTGACACCCCCTATTAATTATAGATATTTTGGTATTAAATTTGTGTTGCATTTAATAATCTTTGTGAATTAAAAAAAAATCATATTAATTACATTCTTTTTTAAATTGAACCTATATTAATTAGTAATTACATTTCTCTCTCCTTATTTCTCACTCGTTCCTTTCCTAACAGCTTTGTTGTCTTCTCCCAATAGACTCCTTCCGATCATACTCCTGATATTATTGTACAAAGTATTCATTGGAGTGCATTTCAACTTTTCAAGATAGGTTGCACACTCAGCAATTATCTCAAATTCCTAACTTCGAAAACTTTACATGGCATGAAAATGCACATAGCTCTAAATATTATTAAAAAAATTAGCATGACTCATTGAAACTCATAATTACCTCCTTCTCATTTATGATTTTTTATTTTATAGTCGGTCTATGATTTTGATTTTGGTGAAAATTGGTGGTCGGGTTTGATCTTTGACTCTCATTGGAGGAGGTACTTCATATCCATCACTCATATCACAAAAACAATGATTAGGAAATCAAAAGTTATTTTTTAACTCCCAAATTATAGAATACAACAAAATACATAAATTCAAATGATATTAATTTTACCATAACTTAAAGTTAGTCACTTCCAAAATTTGTAGATTTGCCGGCGGCAAAGTGACGATAGATGAGAATAATTTCTTCTCAGATTCAACTCGATATTTACACTTTCCTATAAAATAACCTTCACAATTTTGAAATTTATAGTATATTTAGTGCTTCCAAGGTACACATTGAATGATAGTATTCCAAATCCTGTTAGTTTTCCATTCATGACTAAATATTAATTATATTTGTAAAACATTTTAAAAAATTGGGTAAATACAATATATTAGCCACAACTATTATGAAGCGGGAATTATAGCCACAACTATGGAAATTCAAATTATTAGCCAAACGTTAACTCGCTGTTAACAATTCCGTTAATAATGCTGACTAAACTTGTATGTTTTAAAGTTATAAATTAAAAGCAGTCCGACGTGGCTACTATCGTGGCCGATAACGTGCCTTCTCCTTTAAAAATTCAATAATAGTATGGGTAGTTAGCCATATCTTGACCCGCAAAAATAGTTATGGCTAATAATTTGAATTTACATAATTGTGGTTATAATTCCCCGCTTCATAATAGTTGTGACTAATATATTGCATTTACCCTAAAAAATTTAATTCGTAAATCATATCCATCAATCTTCTGACGGTTAGACCTTTAAATATTTTGTATTTAACTTAACTAGAACTAAAACTACAGTGACATTACATGAAACCCACATTTCAAGCCACTTTGGTTTAAACGACAATTATGATGGGAATTTTCCCGATTTCTTTTTAACCTAATTAAACCTAGGTAGATGAGGAAGCAAACTGAAGAAGCAAAAACGGTCAACGGGACAGTAGGATAAAAAAATGCTTCATCCAAACTCCAAAAAGACCAAGTAGTCCTTCCTTGAATTGCTATGGGAGCTAGAAATTCCAATTCTATATATTGGTGGGAGGATTTCAAATGGATGTGAAAAGTGTCTTCTTAATAATTATTTACTTGAAGAAGTTTTTTTTGTTGAAAAACCTCTTGGTTTGGAAGATAATTTCCTTATAGAACACTTGTAGACTCTATATATGGTCTCAAACAAGCTTCTTGTACGTGGTATGAGGCAGCAAATAAGCAAATATGTTAAGAATCTACTTGACGTATTTAGATTCTTAACGTACGTGTGCACCAACAAACTAAATACGTTAAGAATCTACTTGAAAAAATACCAAATAATCTGCTTAGAATAAATAAGCTATACATAGAAGAAAGAACCAGTACGGATGAAAAACGTATGTTATTCAAGGAAAAAATATTTTATAAGATAATGAATTTAATACCATAATATTGCCTGAGATTTCTACACTCCTTATCAGTTATTAAGATACTTATGCACCAATTCTCTCTAAGTTGGATATAGGTATGTTGAAGATAAAAATATAACATTCGTCCAACCCAAATATTTGAAAAATCTTAATATCCTTACCAATGAGTATATTTGATTATGAATTTGCCAAATATTCTATGTATATATGATAATACGTATTTTAGAGAATGAGAATGTAATATTAGGCATGAAGCAAATAATGTCATTCAAGATACATAAGTACAATATTTTCAAATAACATAGGATGAAGAATTCAAGATAAGCTATGACATGGTTGACTGACTGGTCACCACATTGTTAGAACTAATGTGGGTATTACTATTATCATCAGAAGCAAGTAGGTTATTGTTATTTTTGTCGTGGCATCCCAGACATGTAATGTTGCTTTATAATAAGGAGAGAGGAATGCTCTGCAAAATCAGAAGATAGTAGCGTGTCTCCCAAGACACCCAACTCATCAAACTCCATCCATTCTAATAGCCCCATCATCATAGAGGATGCCACAGTTTTACGCTGCCCCAATATGTAGAGATCACAAGATGGCACCACTCGCCCAATAATCCTGATCACCTCTTCCCCTGTCTTCACTTCCTTCTCAATGTACTTTATGTTTTTATCGTGCATCGTCCTAAACCTAAACTCGTTCACATACTTGTTGTCTACTTCAGTTTCATCTTTCTTTCTCATCCTCGTGGCTCCTTCACCTTCTCCTTCGTCTAAAGCTCTTTCTTCTTTGTATTCACAATCAATTTCATTATGGTAATTAAGATCATTGGTGGGGATGAGTCGAAGGATGGTGAGATTGACATTAGGTGATTTAGCCATCCTCCACCCGAGAGCAAGGGCCTCTCGATCATCTGCCCCTCCTATAAAGATAACAACAAACGAAACTTGTGGTTGAGTTGTTGTATTTTCTTTATAGCCAAGCCCACGATCCACAATTATTCCTACGGAGCAAGTACTTGTGGCCATAAGATTCTTATTGACAGTCCTCCAATTTAAGTTCCCATCCTGCAACCTCCTATAGACATCAGCTTGCTTATGAAAAGGGATCAAGATGAGTGTCACCTGCTTGTCCTCCCCTAGGCAGTTAATGTCATCATGCATCGTTGTATATGGGGACACAACAGTGAGTGTTTGAGTAGACACCGAGGAACCTCGATTCTCAAGACTCTCGAATGTTTTGAGGATTGTCTTTGAAGCTTCATCTTGATAACTTAACTTTTGTCCTGATCCTTCAAAAGTGTTATGGAAGTTGTTTTTGTTGTTATGATCATGGACAATCAACATTGTTGTGGCACGTCTATCAGTGAGCTGGACTAAATTGAGGGCGAAAACAGAGATTGGGTATTTCTTGTTGGCATTTGAGTGCTCTAAGAGGTTGATCATGCCTGACAAATTACGTGTCGAATGAATGCATGTAAGTACTCTAAGCTCAGAGTCCAACTTATTGCTCTCCATTGTTCTGCGATTGATTTTGTTAGATCTCTTCTTGGACTTGTTTGCTGCTCTAGTAAAAGGTATTACAGTTATGGACATCACTAATACTGAAAGTATTAGCACCACAAACATTAGTGTGTTGAAGCCCTATAGAAAAAGAAAAGGTTACGTTAGAAAAGTTTTGTTTATATATGTTTTTAAATTGATTGAACCATAGAATATATATTTAATAATATATTATATAGATTCAATATGCAATAAAATTTATTTCATTTTAAGGATTCTAAATGTACTTAAAACAAAATTTTGAAAAATTATGTTACACATTGTTTCTGAAAATCAAAATCATATTCATAATATTTTAAAATTGAAAATAATTGTAGTTAATAATTATAATAACTATAAATAAGAGCTATCTTGGTAATTTCTCTTACGATATAATATAATAGTTTATGCCTATAACTCAAATTATTGAATATACCTGGTTGTTTCTGCCGCTGTTGATGACTATTAAAGCTAGAACTCCTTTTGTGTTCATGAGAACACCAAGTGTGAAGGCTTCACCAGTGGTCTTCCTCGCGAGTTTGGAGAAAATAAAAGTACTAGCAAATTTAGCCAACCAGGCTATGACTATGAGAAGGAAAATGGTATAGAGATGTGTGTTGTAGACAGGATTTAGGAGTGAACTTAAGTCTGTTCGGATACCATTATGCATGAAAAATATAGGGATGAAAATCCCTCTAACATAGTCTTCAAACTTCTCCATGATCAGTGTTGCCACATTCTCGTTGGGGATAATGAGACCAAACACGAAGGGACCAATAATAAAGTTGGCACCACAAGCGTCAGTGATGATCGATGAGATTGTGATTCCACTCCATATTAAAAAGTTAAGAAGTGATGTGTTATCTGTTTTTTCTGCATATCGAAGGACCCAAGTAACCGCGGGGCGTATGAAGAACCAAGAAGCGATTAAAAAGGTGATTATTGGGAGGAGGTACAAAGGGTTCAATGTGTCACTATTCAACATTAGGGCAATGATGAGAAGAATCCACGTCGTAAGCTCGCTAACAATAGAAGATGACAAGGCTAGTTTTCCAATGCCTGTGTGGAGTAGTTTAGTGTCAGAGAGTATCCTGGCAAGATCGGAAAAGCTGGTGACAGTGAGAGTAACAGGCCAGAAGATGGCTCCGGTTAGCTTAACTGGAGCCAGGTTCTCCCAAAACTTTGAGGAGAAAAAATTTGGATACCATGAGTTAGCAGCCAATATAAAGAATTGGATGAACCCTATGAAGAGAGGAAGTACCATCCCAGATAAACCTGTGTATAATGCCTGTTGTCCAATATGTCGCAATGTAGACAGGTCAACCTCTAATCCCATAAGGAATGCATAGCACACGAGGCTCACGTTTCCCAATGTATCTAGCCCCTTTATGCTATTAAGAGGAACAGTGAAAACTGGAAGCCATAATCTCAACCCCTGACCAGCCAAAATTCCAGCCTACACAAATAATTCAAATTAAGTTAAAAATGAACATACATTTGTACTCTTGTGGATATTTTCTTATGAAAAGGCCCTCGATTTGAGCATACAATTCGTAAAGCATACAATTTGAGCCTTCACCGAACTATTAGAATGATGACATATGTTACTTCATGAAAACAAATAATGCCAAATACAAAAATTATTCATCCTTCATCCTAACTTCAAATTTTAGACAATAAATTTATTTGAAAACACAAATAGACAAGAAGGATTTCCTATTAGTGAACTACTTACCAGCAATTCCAAGGAGAAACGAGGGAGGTGCAATGATTTGAGAATGTGTGAAAGAATGTGAATGACAAATATGATGAAAGCTAATTGTACGGAGTAATAGGGGGCATTATAATAGCCAAATATGGGATCATTTTTATTTCTCGGCCTTGCGAGCTTCCAGAAGAATACTGAATTGTTGAGGGAAATTGGAACAAGCTCTTTATGACATATGTTGACGACCCCACTAGTAATACCTTCCATTGTTACACTCGAAACATTACGTCGAGCCATATTGATCTTGATATGAATGCAAATGAAAGCTATCAACTTATCTAGTATAAGAACAAAGGGACAAGTGATCAATGGTATATCAAAAGATATATTAGATAGCTAGACAGATGAATTGATGAAAATATATTGATAGTTTTCTTAAAAGGATTTCAACAAAGGTTTGTTTTAAGTGATTGAGACGAATGAATAAAATTCTATATGAACCAATTAGTTACAAGAGTTCATCAACATCCGTCAATTGATTTGTAATTTCTCGGATGGTTACTAGGTTGGTATTAGATAAGGATACGTAACAATAATTGCGTATTCTAAAAATATTGTTAGAATAAGAATAAGACAGTTAAAAAATTAGGTGAATTGAATTCTATGATTCACTGGTGATGGACCCAATATTCAACCACCTCATACAACACATCATAATTATCTTTACTATGTGTATAAGCTATTTTAATTTGGTTGATTAGTTGGCAGGTGGCTTATGATACTCAACTAACTATACATGGACAAAAGTGAGTGTATTTGCCATCTCACTCTCTAGTCCATGAACAAAATTTGAGACAAGTAATTCCCCTAAATGCCACCTCATAGCCACGTGTTTAAAGGAGGAGAAAATAAGAGTTTGAGTTTAACTCCTCACCACCCACTCTTATTCCTCCATGACCAAGTAAAAGGCATAATTCTTTTCTTTGTTATTGTGATGGGAGAGACAAATAGTATCAAGTTGTTCTTCTCCCTCAATCAACCCCTTTGTAATTAGGTTCACTAAATTCTTTATCCCACCTAGGCATCCTAAAATTCCACCTCCTCCATACCTTTGCTACGTGGCTTAAGAGTGAGAGATATGGCAAAGCATGCATTCCCCATTAAGCAAACTACCTATCATTCCATGCTATGCAATTACACGTAATGCATGAGGTGGGGGGATTAACAAAGTAATCTCTAGAAATTTACCTCGCTTTCTTGGTATGGCTAACACATAGCTAGCAAAGGTGAGATAATGAAAATTAGTTTTCTCAAACAACCACTATCCCCTTCCTACTATTTATACATGGCTCATGAGAAAGATTGGATGGAGGTGATTTTCTTGTCTTTCTTCTCTTACGTGTTACTTACATTGTCAATGTGTTTATTTGCTAAATTTACACTAACCAAACATTGCACCTACGTGATTTGTTTTCTATACTCAACCAGGCATTGCACTTATGTGTTTATTTGCTAAATTTACACTAACCAAACATTGCACCTACGTGATTTGTTTTCTATACTCAACCAGGCATTGCACTTAGGGTTGGTTGAAAGGTAAATGTATTATTCTTATTTAATTATGGGCACGCCACCTACGCCAGAATGAGGAGGCACCTATAAATAGGATGCTCATTTATGCTTTCTTGGCGGTTTATATGGAGTTGAACTAAAATTCTCTCTCTAAGGCGGCTCAATATGCTGCTCCGTTATTCCTCTCATTACTGACTTGAGCTTCGGAGCAGGTCCACGTCGACCACCACCGGCGGGTCCTATCCCCCGAACCCCCTGACCGAGGCGTCCCTGGACCTCACTCGCTGACTAGGCAGTGAGACCCCCGTGACTTCCAGTCGTAGCGGCTGATAGTTCGATTCAAGTCACATCAACATGAGTTTTTGGGGTTGTGTTGATCTCTTTCCCTTTCTACAAACAAATAAACAGGTAAGGAGAGCGAATTACTCTAAGGGGTCGTTTGGAGAATATGAGTTTAAATCTACAGATTATCAACAATTTAAAGATTCTAACTCTTCGGATTGTTGAAAACAGATTTTAAAATGTTAATTGTTTGGTAACTGTTATTGTTAACAATCAAGTAAAATAAAAAATTCATTTTATATTAAATAACCTGTTTATCCTTAATAAAAAAAATTAGAGTGGTTCGAGAAATATAAAAAAAATTTTGTTGATAAATATATTTCATGTGATACATAAATAAAAGGAAGAGAAAAATTAGGAGAGAAAAAATCTCACGAATCAAGATACAGAATCTCTCTGGTTATGAGAGATTTGATATCCGCAGATTTTAGAGATTTGAAATCTCTAAAGCTAGAATCCATAATACAAAAAGTAACAAAAAAACATAACTTTCTACAAAATCTACGGATTCAATGAATCCATATCCTGAATCTTGTTCTCCAAACGACCCCTAATTGATACTTGCTTGTTTAAGTCTCGACTACATAGCAGGAAGTCGGGAGGTAGCATAAGGAAAGTATTCAAAACAAGGAGGAAAGTAGTCATTACAATAAACTGAGGAACTATAAAACAGAGGGACAAGGCATTCTTTAAGGTGTTTAACAGTGGATCAAATAAAGAGTTGAAAGGATCTCTATTACTAGCAACCACTGAGTTAGCTAGATTAGATGAGATTGCCCGAGAGTTTACAGCGTGTGACATTGCTCTTTATCTTTGACCTTATGAAGAAGAGTGATAAGTTGATTTCAGTTTTGCCATTGTAAAAGGGTTTTGTAAGGAAGTGGTTAAGTACCATACATGGTCCTGTATAAGATCCAACATAACCTTATCTCAACAACTAGAGTTATTGGTACCAACTGGTTTCTGACATGGTATCAGAGCTTGTTTGACCAAGTGGCCGTGTGTTCGAATCTCCACGACCCCCAATATTAATAGTTGATTAAAGCACAAGATATGGTGGGCCTGTGCAAACTTCAAGCCCATGGGTTGGCTTTCGTTTGAGGGGGCGTGTTAAAGAGTGGTATAGGATCCAACATAACATTCTCCCAACAACTCGAGTTATTTGGACCAACTGGTAAAAAAAAAATCCTTTTGGTCATCTTCTTCCTTCAGTTATCTGTCTTTCTGGTTCTGTACTCTATTTTGGTATATCTACATTTTTTCCCTTGCTCTTTCCCCTGTGCAGGTGAGACCTGAAGTCCAGAGATGAATTCTAAGTAAAGCTTTGAAAAACCAAAAGCTGCTAAGAAGTCTGGATGTGATGCGTTTGGGATGGTGAATATACATACTTAATGAGTAATAAACACCGTTTAGATGGTTTACTTTCTTACTTTTAGATAGAAAATCTTACTTTCTTTTGAAACTTGTAAGAAACACGGATCTAGGCGTGTCTGTCTAGGGTTTGGGTAAGATGGGTTGATCGAGAATTTGAGAGAAAAGAGTAGGGAAATTGGATTTGGAGAAGGAAGCTTGGGGAAGAAAGAATAGATCGGTCTCCAAGAGAGAGGAGGGCCTGACGACTAGGTAAGGGAGGAGAGAGGATCCAAATCTTGAGAAAGGAAGGAAGAAGTAGTAGGTTTAGGAAATATTTGTTCTGTTATTTCTTAATGAGTAAAACCCAAATAATTATAAAATATATAGGCGGATAAATTTCCTATAACTACCCAATAATAATGTATAACCCAAAATAACCCAAATATCTCAGAAAACCTCCAAAGCATCTAAAACATCCAAAACAGGACTAAACGACCATCAAATCCAAAAACGACAAGAAGGCCAGAATTTATGTTTGTAACAGAACTTCAATAATTTTGGTTGGTTTCCCCCCTTTGATGGCTTTGTAACCATTTTGAGAGGCGTCAAATATTTTACTTTTGTTTGTCCGTACTTAATGGAATTGGACTTAACCATAAAAATATTACCAAAGCTTAAAAAAATTAAAAAATATGCCCCCATAATATATCATATTGGTCTTATTAGATTTAGAAAAATAAAGTAATAACGGTCCGTGTACATGTTTTTTCAAACAATTATTTTGTAGAAATAATGAATAAAGAAAGTTGATAATTACATTCTTACGACTACCCTTTTGAAAACCATAAAAATGGATAATTTTCTTTTGTCAGTTCATGATTTTTTATGAACAATCGAGAAAAACGTATCAAGAAATGGTGCTTATTAATACCTCGAGTTGTTTACAGTCTGCAAAAATAATATTATGTCATTTGCTTACACCATAACCCTTTGTGGCTCCATTTACTTGCTTCAAATAGTAGTTAAACTGGCAGTCCATTTTCCACAAGATCGATAGAATTCATCTTAGTTGGGTGGCGGCAAAGGCCAAAGCGGCTAATCAGCGAGATTAACAGAAACGAGTGGCTTTGCCTTCTCTCCCAAAACTTGGCCTGGCGATCGTGACTTGTGACCTGGTTCATGTTTGTTTTTTTGTTGGTGCAGCAGGAGGGGCCTTATCCACTCAGATGCCCACCTCTTTTTCTTCCTTTTTCAGGTGTGCCGCATTGTTTTGTGCTACCTGCTCCTTTTTTTATTGTTTGAGCTTCTGACCTGAGAGCTCTTGCGAACTCTCTTAGTTCTCCCCTGTTTCCTTTCTTTTTATTAATAAAACTTTCACCCTTATAAAAAAATAGTAGTTACATTAGCCATAACGAGGATGATCATAACGAATGAAAACTATGTACCAACTTCTTAATACAATATTTTCGCGTGTGACTCAACAAGAGGCGGAAGAGGGAAAGAAGGAATATAGATTGTGCATTGCAGCCCTTGATTCAAGATCTCCCGTATCAAAAGAAAATCTTATAACCACTCGATCAAATTTATTTTGCATATTTTAGTATAATTTCAAATGAAGAGGTACCGATTTCTTTGAATTGTTCTTATTACTCGAAATTCTCCCCAGTTCTTGTTGTTGTTGGACCACCACGAATCCTTCCAAATGCTGGCGCTACGAATCCTTCCAAATGCTGGCGCTATGAAGCTTGGCCTCTCCTTTCTTTTGGCCTTTAATAATATCCTGAAAGATTGGTTGATGATGAAAATGGAACAATGTGACAAAAAGTGGGTGTGAATGGGGTTGGAATTTGCTTTGGTTGCAATCTCCTCCTCCTCCTCATAAAGCCAAAATTCATAGGGCCCGTGAGGATAGATGGATTCTTTGGAAAGTACTGGCAATATGAAACAAATACAAAGAGAACACAGTAGGGAACGAAAGAAAGAAAGAATGAAAGAAAGGTTTGTGGGAAGGAGATTTGTCAATTAGATGA